GGGCCACAGGCTGGCTAGCATCCCTCAATGGGCATGAGCCACCCCTCACTGGGCATGAGCCACCCACGGTGGGGCCAGCTGGGACTCTGCCCCACGCTGCCCCGGCTACCAGCGGCTCCCGAGGTTGGTCATGGCTGTGGCAGCACCGTGCCTGTCCCTGTGCCCGTCCCCGTGCCAGGCCAGCAGCACTGCTCCTGTCCTCAGCCCAGGCCCAGGGGTGAGACCGAGGTGAGACCCCAGGTGCCGGCGGCCTCACCTCGATCTCCTCGTAGCTGGCAGGGAGGCGACGCTCCTCGAAGAGCGCCGAGTGCTGCCGGCTCCACTGCAGCAGCCCCGTCACCACCTCGTAGTACTCCTGCCAGCGCAGCTGCAGCTCCTGGGGAGGGGACACGCGTGGGGCTGGGGGTGGCACCGCGGGGCCGGCGGCAGCGGTCACCCCCGGCGCCCCAACTCACGTTGGCCTTGACGCCGTCCTGCACCTCGGGCACGCGCGGCATGGCGTCGTACAGGGAGGACACGTAGGTGATGATGGACTTCTCGTCCGGCTGCGCCACGTCCACGTCTGCGGGGAGGGAGCGGGGTCAGCTGGGGGACCCCGCGCTGGGGAGGGGTCCGCAGAGGGACCCCACGGGTGACCCCAGCCCGTACCTTCGGGGTCCAGCAGCCGCGTCACCCCCAGGTCCCGCTCGGCCACGGTGAAGGCCTGGTCCAGGTTCTCCAGGTTGCTCTGGCGGTACACCCGGCTCATGTCGATCAGCATTGGCCTGTGGGGAGGGGGACAGGAGGGGTCAGCGGGGCTGTGGGGACCCCAAAACCCCGAGGAGAGCAGGTTCCCCCCCTTCCTGGGGCCGCCATGGCTGCCTCCTCTGCCTGGACTCCTGCCCAGCCACCCCACACCCCACAGCAGGGGAGACCCCCAGAGCCAGCACTGGGACAGGAGGAGCTGGGGGTACACACAGTCCCCAGTGGGAACCCTGGCACAGCCAGAGCCCCCATGTCCTGTGAACAGGGCACCCCAAACCTGCAGGGGGCTGACACCCCAATCCTCTGTGGGGCTGACACCCCCATCCCCTGTGAGGCTGAAACCCCAGTCCTCTGTGGGGCTGACACCCCAACCCTGCATGGGCCTGACACCCTGTGGGGCTGACACCCCAACCCTGCATGGGGCTGACACCCTGTGGGGCTGACACCCCAATCCCCTGTGGGGCTGACACCCCAACCATGCATGGGGCTGACACCATTGTCCCCTGTGGGGCTGACACCCCAATCCCCTGTGGGGCTGACACCTTGGGACCCCTTGAAGCTCCGTGCTGGGACCGAGCTCAGCGTGGCAGCGCCTCGGAGCGGAGCACGGCGCGGCTGTGACATCTCCCCCCGTCTGGCACCCGCCCGCGCATATTTGCTCTCCCCAAAAGCACGCGGCAGTCCCAGCAGGACCCGTGGGGACCTGCCTGCCACCGCCCCGGCACGCCAGCAGCGGGCACGGCTCTGCCGGCACGGCCGATGGGCCGGGACTCGTCAGGAGCACGAGGGGATCGGCACGGCAGCCCCGGTGAGCGGGGATGGGCACGGCTGCCCCGGTGAGCGGGGATCAGCACGGCTGCCCCGGTGAGCGGGGATCAGCACAGCTGCCCCGGTGAGCAGGGATCAATCAGCACAGCAGCCCCGGTGAGCGGGGATGGGCACGGCAGCCCCGGTGAGCGGGGACGGGCACGGCAGCCCCGGTGAGCACACGGCTGCCCACGGACACACGGTACCACCACGACACCCACCTGTGCCGGTGAATGATGGCATTGAAGAGGCGCCCGTCCCGCCAGCTGGTGGTGAAGTTGTCACAGCGGAGGCCCTGGTAATCCTCCACCATCCGCTGTGACCAGAGCAGCAGCTTCTCCTTGGCTGTCATGTCCTCCGACTGCCCCGTCACCTGGATGTCTGAGATCTGCCAGGACACGGCCGTTACTCTGGAAACCGGCACCGGCACAGCGACCCTCGCTGCAGGGCAGTGACACCGCTCCTGCCCCACTGGAGGGGACCAGACCGGCCCGGGGAGACCCCCGGCCCCACGGCACCCTGGCCCCTGGGCACCTCCGCCCAGTCCCTCCCCGCCGGGCTCACCTGGAAGTGGAGGATGATGGTCCAGATGAGCCCCAGCGTCAGCTTGGGGTTGCCGTCGGCGATGTCATCGTTGCGGATGTTCACCAGCTTCACCTGCAGCACAGGACGCGCGCGGCTCAGGGCTGGGGCAGCGCAGCTCAGGGCTGGGGCAGCGCGGCACAG